AAACTACCCAACTTGTATGCTCGCCACCACTGATATGCCGCTCTCTTAAGCTGCAAGGTAGTAAAAGCTACCCCACTCGTCTCCACAATACCAATAGTGTGGAGAATACGGTAGCACTCCCCTAGGAACCCATGCGCATCCTGTGAAGCCAAACCACTGAGAGTGGGAGGGTAATACTTCTTGAACCTCGCAAGCCTAAGTTGTACTTCCTCAGATGCAGTTTCCCTAACCATGAGCTGAACTGGATAACAAGCTGTGTCGGTATGACATTTGGAACCTGACCAATGTGCGCTTCTCCGAGGTGCGGGCGGAGGGAGTCTAAGCTCCTCCCCCGGTCTGTGAAGTAGCTAGTGCAACCGGAATCAACCCCGCTTGAGCCAATGTACCAAACATGCTCAGGAAATGTGCTAAGGTCTCCTGAAGTCCTGGGGTCGCAATAGGCGCCTCAGGTACCTGTCTCCCAATTGGAGCTACTGGCGGCTCCTCAACAGCTACTCTAACAAGTGCTCTAGCTGTAGCACGTGTTCCTCCTCAGCCTCTGCATCTACCTCTGCCCCGTCCCCTGACAACACCGGCTCAGGGGGCAGCGTGATCGGTAACTGTAGCTCGTGTCCTCACTATTTGTGAGAGAATAGAATGACAAAGGTTCAAACTCCGAGATCAATAAACTCACACGATAGGAATGAAGGAAGTGAAACTACCCTAATAGTTTTGTAGCCTCTCGAAGATAAGTACAGATGTCTCTGTACCGATCCGCAAGACTCTACTAAACTCGCTTACGACTCATAGCACCTATGAACCTAGAGCTCTGATACCAACTTGTCACGACCCTAATTTCTCTCTGTATGATGTCGTGATGGTACCTAGTCTCTAAGACTAGGTAAGCCTAACACTTACTGAATTAATAGAAGAATTCAACCATCAACTGATAAATATGAAATAGAATTCTTTATACACAACTTACAATCCCAAAACCGATAGTACAAGTCATAAGCTCTACTGAGTTTGCTAGAAAATCCCTATATACGACTATTCAGAATAGAATTAAATAGTACAAGTACAATATCAGAAGGTGACTCCGAGGCCTGCGAATGCGACGACAGGTTTACCTTGAGTCTCCACAGCAATGCTTGACCAGCCAGATAATAATAAACAATAATTATGGCACCTGGATCTACACAAAAATGTGTATAAGCGTAGTATGAGTACACCACAGCGGTACCCAGTAAGTATCAAGACTAACCTCGGTGGAGTAGTGACGAGGGATAGTCAAGACACCTACCAGACTAAACAACCTGAAAAAGCGTGAAGGTAAACTAATAGGAAAACAATATTAATATAAAGCTAAGCATGATTAGGAATACAAAAAAAATACTTGCAATGATACACTAGTAACATCAATATTTAATAGGAAGCAATCATGTAATAATGATGTATAGTAAGTTGATCATTGTCAAAGTCCGGTGAAACCAAATAAAGGAAAACCAGCAACGGCTCAATAAGAACAACCGCTTTAACACCAGATCTGTTCAAGCATTTCCACGAGGTACCGAAGCTTATAAACACAACTCATAGGTCCCAATTCATCAACCCTAATCACTTGGTATCTTATGCCCACATTACAACTCATAACCGCACGGACGACTCTCGTGCCAATAGAACAATTCTTACACATAAGGAAAATAGACAAGAGTACGTATAATGGTCAATGACGTCAGGATTCATCTTCTAAAACCAATATGGGTGATTTAACTACGTGTATGCTTGTGCAGGTGTTCTACCACAATTCAAGTCAACAAATAAGAGCATAGAGAATGAATGGCTCATAAGAAACAATCACCACACAATGTACAGTGTAATAAAGGCTGCAATAATTTGAAGCAACGACTAGCACAACAAGATTAGCTACATAGAACTAAGAAAATAGTGCAATACGGAGGAAGACAATTAATAGTATGCTAAGGAGGCAACAATCAAAGACAAGTACAAAAGAATGGGAAAATGGCAACAAGGGCCCTATCGAGGTACCGCCTCATAGCCTCAAATCATACAATGAATCACAAACTTTCCTTATATCACCGTGGGAGCCTTTATATTTAGTTTTTGAAATTCATTTTTCCCAAAATAGCATCTCGCGTTATAGCCCATCTTATCACACTGCATGGCTTCTGGTAGTTCCCCTACTAGCCATGCATTTCATGCCCACTTTATCTCACCGCATGTGTTTCAACACCCAGACCTTATACCACCACATGCGTATCAATAATAACAACAGCACGGTAGAAGCCTCGTGCAACACAATAACAATTGCACGGCAGAAACCTCATGCAAACACAATAACAACCGCACGGCAAAAATCTCGTGCAAATACAATAACAATTCTCTCAACAACAACACGTGTGCCAAAACATAACAATTCAAATAAATGACTTTCACAATATGTGCCCACATGCTACAACATTTCCTCAAAACAGTTTCAATATTACAACCACGCATAGACCTCGGCTCAAAAACACTGAATACAACATCAACAACGACAATAATAAGAGAATACGACAAGTAAATCAACTCAGGAACTTCATAATACAAGGAAACGGAAGAACAAGCTCACAAAGAAAGACACAACAGGGAGTAATGGTCTCAACATGAATAGCTCAACAAGTAAGAGATAATGTGTAGCAATGATTCCACAAAAGTAAAATTCAACGATAAGAGGGATAACAAGAATCAATAATTCCAAATAAGGATAAGTCAACAATGATAAGGGATAACAAAACTTCATTTAGGGTTGAGCAATTACGGAAGAGATACAACAAATTCAATTAAGGATAAGCAGATTATTGAAAAGATAATTACTTCAATCAAGGATAAAAAATTACGGAAAGGATAGCATGGCAATAAAAGAGGCAACAACTTCAGTTAAGGCACATAAGAGTTTAATCAGCAATAAGGGTAAGACATGGAGTAATTAATTCCAAATAAGACACGTAAGGGTGAATTTAGTAAATGAGGAATTTAACATGACAAAATAACTTTATATTTAATCGACATAAATAACTAAGAGCCCTAAACGGTCAAATTTCCATGAATAAGCTCGAGCACGTACTTGTCACCTCGTGTACACGGCTTTTACATGACACAGTTAGCAGAAAGACTCAAATCTTAAGGGGTAATTTCCCCACACAAAGTTAGGCAAGATACTTACCTCAAAGAAGCTAGACTGTTGCTCTAAAAGGACCTTCTCGAGTGAAATAACCTCCGGACGGCTCAAATCCCAATCAACCACGTGAAGAACCCCTCAAACATCGCTCAAATCCAAGGTCTCTAGCTGAAAAGATGAAAAATGGACAAAACCCACGATTTTGGAAATATATTCTGCTACCCAGCGATTTACACATTGCGATCGCGGAAATGCAATTGCATTTAGGTAGAAGGAAATGACCGCTGCCCAGAAATTGTACTACACGATCGCGAACAAATGCATGCGATCACGAAGAGAAAATACACCAGCTGCTAAAGCTGAGCTATGCGAACGCGGATCTCTGAACGCGAACTCGATGAAGGAGAATGTACACGTTCGCGATCGCAAACCTTATACTGCAAACGCAAAGAAGGAAAATGGGTCACTCACTAAATAGCCTACACGATCGCGTCGATGCCTTCGCGATCGCGTAGAAGGACATCAGACACCAGAACCTTAGTATTCCAAAACATAAGAAAATGGCATGTTGCCCATCCGAAACGCACCTGGGGACCCCGGGACCCCTTCGAAACATGACAATAAGTTCAATAACATAACAAGGACCTGCTTGAGGCCTGAAATCACATCAAATAACGTCGAAACTACAAATTGCATCACGAATCGAACTTATAAATTTCCAAATATTCTAACTTCTACAACTTGCGCCGAAACATATCAAATCAACCCGGAATGACGCCAAATTTTGCATGCAAGTTCCAAATGACATAGTGGAGCTAATCCAACTCTCGTAATCGCATTCCAACCCCAATATCACCAAAGTCAACTCTCGGTCAAACCTCCCAACCTTCCAAAACTTTAATTTTCCAATTTTCGCCGAAATGCTTCAAATTACTTTACGGACCTTCAAATATAAATCCGGATGCACGCCTAAGTCCAAAATCACTATACGAAGCTATTGAAATCATTAAAATAGCATTTCGGAGTCATCTACACAAAAGTTAAATTCCGGTCAACTCTTACTGCTTAAGCTTCAAAAACAAGAATCTTTCTTCCAAATTGACCCCGAATCATTCGAAAGCCGAACTTGACCACACGCGTAAGTCATAACACATAATACGAAGCTGCTCGAGACCTTAACCCGCCGAACGGGATGCAAATTCTCAAAACGACCATTCGGGTCGTTACATGGCCAATTCACAATTAAGTCTGTTTGGCAGTACATAAGGAAGGGAAGACATGAGAGCAAGCTATACAAATTTATATGGGTAAAGGGATTTCCATTTAAGGTATCATTATTTATGTGGAGTTTATGGAAAGCAAAATTACCGCAGGATGATTCACTTAGAAGAATATGATACATATTTCCATCAAGGTGTTGGTGTTGTAGAAATCCTAAAGAAGAAACACTAGCTCATGTGTTTTAAATCTCCATTGGCCAAGTTTGTATGGAAGTACTTTAGTGCACCTGCTGGGATCAATATTTAGGGGAAGCTACTGATCTAGGTGATCAATGAATGGTGGAGGAGGCCAGTCAACACAAGCCTTAAAATTGTCTACAAAACAATTCCATCACTGATTGTTTGGCACTTGTGGAAGAGGAGGAATGCAGGCATGAATGGGAAATTAGTGTCCATTAATATGCTGATCTTTGAAGTGTCTTCTTCTATTTAGGCAAAATACATCGACAACCCCTTAAAGTAACTCATTTTTCACTTAGATACTTCATCTTAAGCTTATTTCATTTGAACACTTTAACCAGACTTTTACTGTGTCATTTAGACAAAATGTGCTGACATGGCAAGGTAAGTGTTTCTCACATCTTTCAAGCGCATTAAATCATCCAAAAAAACAAACTCCATATACTTCTTATAGGCAAATTAATAGCTTTTGCCGGAAAATTTTCCAGTCAACTTCTCTTTTAATTTTTTAGATTTGTTCACGGGATTATTACCAAATTCTCCTTCAAATCTGGACACCCCACCACCTTTAAATCCGATCACCACCATAAACTTCTAATTTTTCTTCTCGTTTTTAAGATCCAATTGACCACTGCAATTCTGCCTAGATAAGTAGCGTTCCAATCTCAAATGTTTTTCTTCTTCCTCGAATTTTCAGCTTAGAAACTTTTAGATCTTAAAGTTTTTGTCCTAGATCAGTATTTGGTTACTAATTTATAACTCTAAGAAGAAGAAAGTTCCGAACTTTTCCGGCGAGAGCCAAGAATTTTCCTTAAAAAATGTCGGTCCAAAAAGAGAAATGAGGCTAACATAGGGGAGGGATTTTCTGTTAAGGGTGGTTGCCCCTCGATCTGTTGTGCCAATAATTTTCTATAGCTACTAAACCAACAATCGTTGTTCATTAAATGCTGAGAAACAAAATATGTTTCTTTAGTCTACAACTTAAGTCATGAACCTCTGTGTTTGTGTCCTTGCGTGTGTGTTACTTTTTCCTCCTTTGGAATAATTTTACAAAAGAGGCAGTGATGATAATACGTCACTTCTTGGGCTATCAACTAGTGAGAATTTATTATGTCATTTCGTCGAACATCTGGTATGCTCGGAACAACTGAAATCTATTTTTGTATTATTGTGGAATTTGGTTGGATGAAGTCAGCGGGAAAATGTTTAAACACATTCTCCATAACAGCAGAAAGCTTTTTGTATTGGTTCTGTTCGATTTGGACCCCCGAAACTCCATTTCCGACCAACTGAAGCTCGTTGGAGTTTTGCAAATGTCAGGGCTGACGTTTCCGACGGTGGAATAGTCTGAAATTTTGTGAAAAGATAGACCTGGAGGTGGAGAACAATTTTCATGGTTTGTAATTTGCAATTTGGCCCAGAATTAAGTTAGAAAAGAAATGGCCGGAAATTGATTTTTCCGGCGAGGATGGTCGTTAGGGAAAATGAAAACGGATGAATCCACGTGTGCTCCTCTTATTCGTCACTCTAGAGTATGAATTACACGCACCTTTTGTGTTTGGTTACCTATGAATTTTGTGTCTAAATGACACAGTAAATGCTTGGTAAAAGTGTTCAAATGAAACAGACTTAAAATGGAGTATCTAAGTGAAATATATGGACAACTTTAAGGGGATGTCAATGTATTTTACCTTCTATTTATATGCTACTGAAGGTGATAAGACCTACCTTTTCAGGTGTCACTGCTAATTGGCAAGACTTGTATGACAATTTGAAGTCCCACATACCTAGATTGACATATACTGGGATTTTGTGGCAACTACCTCCTACAGGTTGGATAAAATATAACATTGATGGAGTATGTAGAGGCAGTGATGGAACAACTTCATATGCCTTTTTCATTGAAGATGGGGTTGGTGACCTACTATATGCACAGGCAGATGAGATTCAAGATGCCACTAACAACATTGCTGAAGCCACACCCATCCTTGAAGAACTCGGGTATATTGTACACTCTCAGCTCCCTCCTTGTGTCATTGAAATGGACTCTTTGTTGATGAAGAGAATATTAGATGAAATATGGAACCTCCATGGAATATTGTTGTACAAGTGGAAGAGATCAAAAAGCTCATGTCTTGTTGTGTTGTTGAAGTACCTCATGTGCTTAGGGAAAGAAATAAGCTAAAAGATCACCTTGCTAACTTAACTTTGGAGAACAATGTAATCATTCAGGCTGCCTCTTTTGGTGAACTGGGCACTCATGGGAGAAGGATCTTGAACAGTGATAAGCTTCAGGTCCCATACATTAGGGTTAAGAAGGCTAAACAAAACCATATGAATTGGTGAATTGGACAGGGTGATTTGTGTTAGCCTGGTTGATGAGGGTGTGGAGGCATCAATGTATAACTGGAGTTGGAGATGACAACATTAAACTTCCTACTTAAATCTATAAAGAGGAGAGTAGAAAATCTTTTTACACTAACTATAGTTTTTTTTTTTGCAGGTACAGATATTGGGGCTGGGTTTATGTGTTGGCCAACATACAAGGGTGGTATTAGCATCTTTTATGCTCAGTCCCTTTAGGTGTAAACAATGCATAGCCCTGCTCAATTATACTCTAAGAGGAAGGGTGCAGCAGGCTCACTTATGCCATTCAAGCTGCACAACAACTTGCAAGAGTTGTGATTGCCATTTTAACCTAAAGAGAGCTATTGGAGACTTTTGGTTTGCAATATGTCACGTCCACTGCTCCTTCAACCTTCTTGAGCTTTGGGAAGCAAGTAACAACAATGCTCACAGATGCACAAGAATCCACTTTACCCGTTTGAAGAATGCACTGCCTAGATTTGCTAAATGTGGGCAATGGTTTTGAATTGTAATTGCCGGCCAGTTGAGTACAAACTGGTGCATGTGCCAAACAGATATGGCATATATGATGCATCAAGAAGATTCATTTGCTTGGTTTTCATACTCTCATGTAGGGATTATTCACGATTTTTTGAAGAAAAATTACAAGGACATCAAGGCTGCCTTGAACTGGATAGTGAGGTTGGTCCTTATTGGGTGTGGCTTAGCTGGCTTCTTGGCTTTGCCATATGCTTATACCACTTCTAGGAATCAATTGGAGCTGATTGATCGAATACATTTGAGGTGCTCATGCCCAAAATCAAAAGTGCAGAAGATTTGCACACATTAGGATAGCTTTGTACATGTCTTTACTTGGCTTATTTTCATAGTTTTTTTATCCTAAGTATGCCATTGTTCATTGTGTACTATCAAAGTTGAGTAGACTGCTCAACTTTGGTAATAGGCGTGATGTATTTTCAAGTTCTACTTTCATACATTTTGTGAGACATCTTGATACTTTATTTTACTTTTTTGATATTAATAAAAAATACCACTAAGCACCAAACTTAGTGGTATATTAGCTTTAAAAAAATACACAGTTCCTTAAATTAATTAATAAAACTTTCAATAATGAATTTAATTTTTTACCAACTCATAAATATATTTAAAAAGTTAGATATGAGCTTAGGAAGTATTTTCTATAACAAATATTTATATTAAAGGCTAGAAATAAAACTAGTGAAATATAAATCATGCAATATTAGTTTGTGAAAAATACATGTATATATACGAAAATTTAGATATTTAAACAACATATTTTTCTTTTAAATAAGTGTATTAAATAAATATAAGTTGATAACTGATATCATAAAAACTAATAGGTATCTATCTTTCAAATAATTAATATCTTAAATTAAAATAATTAATAGAAATTTTAATTTTAAATTTGATTTTTACCAACTCATATGGATATAATGTGAAATATTTAATTTATTTCACTATCTAGATAACAAAAATAGACATATATTTAGAATTTTATTTCTTAACATTTATTTATACTTATGAATAAAAAAATAAAACTAGNCTCTAATGTCTACACTCGCAGAATAATTTCGTGAAAAACTAACTGAGGCTGTTGGTGAACTACTGGAGTTGGTGCTCTGGTTGATTTAAGAACTCTCCTTACAACAGAACAACACATGTTTTTTAATTTTTTTCTTTTTCTGTAATTGTTTGGAATAGAGGGTAATTGATTTGGAAACTGTTGCGACCAGGACATCCCAATAAAATGTGTCTACGCAGTTAAGGTGTGCTGTGCTTTTGCGGCAATTGAGGTCTCTAAAAAAAAAAAAAAAAAAAAAAAAAAAAAGAAGTAAAAATGAGAAATCGATAAATTATATGAAAATACATATAAGCAACACATTGGAAAGTTGGAAATGCGTAATATGAGAAAATGAAAGAGAAATATTGTAAAATGAATAGTACTTAATATATGTGAAAAAATAAAATAAAAATTATATTAGCTTGTAATAATATAGTTGTTTACCCGAAAAACGGATAGAGTTGAATTTATACGTAGTTCTAAGGATACGTGGTCTAATTGATACAAATTGGAAGGATAAGTAAAAATATATCGGATAGTGACTGTAAAAAGAAATGAATAGAAAAATAAATAGAGAAGAAAATCATTGCTTAAACAAGCATTTGAAACAATATATAAAGCCCAAAGAATGACAATATTTGCTGTAAGTTGTGTAAATCTCTATGATCTCTCAATATGAGAGTGTATCAATGAGTATATCAATCTGTGTATCAATGGATAATGATGCCCCCTTACAAATAGCAATCACTCTAATATAACGGAAGGATCCTACTTTGGATATAATTAAAAATATATAGTGGGGATCCCATGTTAGATTAATCAATTAGCTTTTTCTTGATTTCTGCCGAGATTCTCTCCCTTAGTGCGGCTATAACGACTTTGTTGTCTCTTAGCTCGGTCTTGGTAGTGGTCGGTCTCTTGATCTCGAGCTCGATATTGACTCGAGCTCGGCATTGATCGGTCTTTGGCTCTCGAGCTTGATAACCCCACTTCATATTATAGCTCCATATTGACCCGAGCTCGATACTGACTCAAGCTCGATACTGACTCGAGCCCGGTATTGATCGGTCTGGGTCTTGAGCTCGATAACCCGGCTTCTTATCTTATCTCGATATCATAATGACGACCCTCGATCCATTATGTTTTAATCTTGACTAATTATACGACGGGCAAACTCGGTTTTGACCGTATACAGATAGTTCCCTCGTTTCTCGAAAAGAGTGTGGCGAGAAACGATATGATTTTTCAACTTCTGACTAGATATACACTAACGTTTGCATCGAGTCCAATTATGACGTATGTGACAAATATCCTGTCGGTCCAGTTATCAAGGCATTAAATGCGCGTCAGATGATGGTCGGCCACTGCCGATTTTGAACCGTCATTGTGAAATCTATAAATAGCCCTCTTTCTTCATTATTTTAAACTTTTTACTTTCAACTCTTCTCATTCCAACCTTCACAGTGCTTCGCCTTCTCCAAAGTTCTCTATTTCCAGCTTTAAGAATTATCTTGTTCTTTGTCAAACACCAAAATATTTCAATTTCCCCTCTTCTTTGTTCTTGAAAATTTAGATGGCTAAGATATCTAAAATTGTTCCTCAGAGAGAGGATGCTTCTTCATCTCGGCAGGCCAGTGAAAAATCGGTGGTGGAGCCACGCCTCGAACAACTCGTTCCTGGGGGATGTATTATCGATTCTGACTTTAAGGTCGAGAAAACCTCATCGGTTATTGGTCGATGTGAGCCAGTATCGAGATACATATGCTCGATACCCCAAAGCCTTATTGATTTGGTGAAGAAAGATTGTGATTGGGAAAACAAAGAGGTCGTAATACCGGCACCGGAGGAAGCGATCACTACCCACGTGAAAGGGTACTTGAGGGTATACACTTATTCTTTCACGCTGGGTCCCCTCGATTTGGTCATCATCGACTTTTGCAAAAAGTACCAAGTGACCCTCGGCCAAATACATCCTTCTTTCTGGAGGACTGTAATACTTCTCCGTTTCTTTGTGAGCAAAATCGACGGGCTTCCCTTCACCCTCGACCACCTCATACGATTATACAGCCCTCGGCTTTACCGAGGTAGGCTAATAAAGCTTCAACGCCGGGCCACCAAGGCGTTCACTTCTGTTACACCCCATATTTTTTGTACGTGAAAGTACGCCATAAATAAATTGATGAAAGCTCGAAAATGAGATGTTACATCCCGCATTTTTGTACGTTAAAGTTTCGTCGTAAGTTAATCGACGTAAGCTCGAGAATGAGATTATTTTGGGATTATAAGTATTATGCTATTTCAAACAAGGGATAAGTAAATTCGTGAAGGTGAGAGGGTAAGCAAATCGAAGAAAATGAGTTTCGTTAAAATTTAACAATTTGGGATAAAATACGGTCTGAGCTATGATACCCGGTATTTATGGACTAGTGCCATACAAGGTACCACATGACCATAATAGTAAGGTGTACAAAGTGTGTTAAAAGTGAGTAGTATTTTAAGTAATTTGAGATAATTCTTAATTATGTGAATAATTGGGTAATTATTGAATTAGTGGGGAATTAACTAGTTAATTAAAAAAATGAGTGGATAAGGATCCTTGTTGGGGCTGCCACTTGGCATTAAGCTAAGCCAAAGTGGCACCAATATGAATGATGAGTCATAAGACACAACATGCCTTGTTTACACGTGAAATGTTCCTTGGATTTTGGTTTCTTTAGTGGTAATATAACTTGGAAAATTAGACGAGCCACATTATGGCATAACATGGAGATTTAGTTGTAATATAACTTGGTTTGGATGATGAGTTATGGCATGCTTGCCACTTTAGAATTAGACCAGTAAGTTGGATGCCAAATTAGCTAACGGATGGAATTCTCATTCTTAAAGCTTCAGCAAAGCTTATGTTGCAATAGCAATGAAATTGATTCAAAGATTTCATACGAAGTCTACCTAATATTATCGCAATGTGAGATTTTGATTCTAAGGGAGTACGGTACAATCTTTCTCAAGAATATCATACGGATTCTTCCCTACTCCGATCTTGCCGATTACATATTGTTGCAATTGACGTGTATTAGAGGGATTGTTAAGAGAACCAGCTCAGGTATGTTAAGACTAAGCCCTTCCTTCATGTTGGCATGATCTCGTAAGTACATGTGTTTGATAACGAGGCATAAAGAGAAGTTCATACTCCCGAATTTATATACATTATCCTAGTCTCATAAATTACAGTATTCTCCTTATCGGGACTTCATATTTAATTGAGTATTGTCTTCTTCCAATCAAGAGAGAAGAGAGCCTATAGATACAGTATTACAGTATTTTCATTACCATCGAGCTATAATCGATGGGCAGGCCCCTATTGGGCAACCTCTGATCAGATGTTAAGTTGTATACCGAGCCTATTGTGGTCGAGCGCCTTTGAGCGAGCCTAGTTGGCCGAGATACAGAGCCTAGTATGGCCGAGCACCTATGAGCGAGCCTACTACGGCAGAGCAGTTATATATACCGAGCCTTACAAGGCCGGACAACTATTTTCCTTATTATATTGAGTGAGTTGAGTCAGTATCAGCATGTGAGCATATCTTCAAAATATCTTTGACTCCCAGTTACTTTCAGTTATTATATTATCAGTTCAGTTTCAGCTTTCAGTATATTGCCTTACATACTCGGTACATTATTTCGTACTGACGTCCCTTTTCTGAGGGCACTGCATTTCATGCTTGCAGGTTCAGACAGACATACAGGTAGACCTCCTCATTAGGTGTTGCCCGAGTTCAGTTTGATCGGTAAGCTTCATGCCCTTCGGAGTTGCCGGGTCTAGAGCTTTATGTACATCTTGTGTATATATATTATATATGATATGAGTAGCTCGGGGCCATATTCCGATCACATTATATATATATATATCAGTAGAGGCTTGTAGACAGATCCTGTCAGTTAGTGCAGTATTTTGGGCTTATAGGCCTTTTATGTATTTTGTTGATTTGCCAGCTGTAGTAGTTATGACGGCCTTGTCGGCCCAGTATTATATTGATGTTTAGTCAGCATTCGCAATTGTCTTGCAATGTGGCCCATGGAAAAAGTATGACATTATATGTTCAGAGTCCCTTAGTCGCAAGTTGGTACGCAAGGATAGGTGAGGCACCGGGTGCCGGTCTTGCCCCCCAGGTTCGGGGCGTGACAAAATGTGGTATCAGAGCAGTTCTGTCCTAGGGAGTCTACAAGCCGTGTCTAGTAGAGTCTTGTTTATGGGTATGTTGTGCACCACACTTATAAGAAGGAGGCTACAAGGCATTTAGGACTGTCACTCTTTCTTCTTACTCTAGATCGTGTGGTAGAGCTCAGTTGTAAGAACTCAATTTCCTAAATTCTATCTTATTCGTAATACAATGATACCTTCAT